TTATTGGATGAGCATATTAAAGAATTAAAACTCACAAAGAAACTAGCCTTATGACTTTGCTATATCTCATATACACACATGTGTGTTGATACGATTTGGCTGTGTCCCCACCCAAATCTCATCTTGAATTGTAGCTCCCATAATTCCCATGTGTTGTAGGAGGGACCCAGTGGGAGATAATTGAATCGTGGGAGCAGTTTCCCACATACTGTTCTTGTGGTAGTGAGTTAGCCTAATGAGATCTGATGGTTTTATAAGGGGTTTCTCTTTCACTTGGTTCTCATTCTCTCTCTCCTGCCGCCATGTAAGACATGCCTTTTGCCTTCCACCGTGATTGTGAGGCCTCCCCAGGCCATGGAACTGTGAGTCCATTAAATCTCTTTTTCTTTATGAATTACCCGGTCACAGGTATGTCTTAGCAGCATGAAGACAGACTAATACACATGTCAAAAAAAATTCAGGGACATGTAAACTCATTTCAAAAATAAAAGTCCATCTTGCAAGATTAAATCTACCTTCTATAAAATTTGACTATTCAACTGATCTATACTTCCTGTAAGTAGTAACATCATTAACAAACATTTTATGTTTGAGGGGGAATTAAGTAATGATCATGCAAATACACAAGCTTTAAAATTTGACTCTCCAATAACACTCCATAGAGTAGGCAGAAGAGCTTTTAATATTCCTACTTTAAAAATTTGGTAGCTGAGAATGAAAGTGAACGTGTGGATATACAGATTCCACTGCTGATCCTCTATTAAGGTGCTGTTATATATGTTATTATGAGTTTTAATTTAAAACAAAATGCCAGGGTAATAATATTTAAGGAGATGAAGATAAGTCTGCATGACTTTTTAAATCTACTTTCTGGATATGCCTTACATACTTCAAAGGAGAGAAATACTTCTCATAGAAGGATAGCTTTTGATAATTATAAAAAGCAAATGTAAATAGAAATAAATTGCTATTAACATATAAAGATCTTATCTCATCTTCCTGTAGTATTTTATTTTTATATTTAGAGTGAGGGGGAGGCCATCCACAATAGCAGATGTACATACTTTAGTCAAAGATATTTTGTAACTATCTTCTTTGATTTCTCCCCTGTCTATTATAATGAGGAAGTTGAGATATTGAATCACTTCATGGCATAAAGCTGAGTGATAAAAGCTAAACTTTTAAAATAAACATAGGGAAGTATAGAAAATAAATTATAGCATTTATTGAATCCTTGCTATACAGAATAACTGAGATAAACTCTTGACACATGCTATCTCATTTAATATAAAAAATATTTTCTGGTTTTTCTTACTGGCACCTAATACAAATAGCACCTGCATGTACTTGTTAATGTGAATTTAATGTCTTGGCAATTTATATCAAGTATCAAAACAAGGGGAGTCAAAGCCCGATTTTTGCTTACATCAATGCGGTTACAAACATCCTCTATGACCCTCAAACCTCTGGGATACATCTGCCTTCATGAGTTGACCAACACTCGCAGAAACTGTCTCATCAAAAAACAGAAAGCAAGTGACCATTGAGTCCATGTTGGTTTCTTGCATCCAGACTGTGTTATGTCACATTTTAAGATAAAAATATATGTACATAGATACATGATAGATAGATAGATAGATAGATAGATAGATAGATGATAGATAGACAGACAGACAGACAGAAAGACAGAGTACTCAGAAGAAGAATTCAGAACTATCTCTAAGATTCTATCATTATGTAGAGTAAATGTATACCTTTTTACAAATTTTAAATAAAAGAAAAAGATCTTTCCATAAATTCCAAAATATGACATATAATGGTCTTCAGCAGGCAAAAGTGATTTGGAAAGAGGTTTCTGAAGCCTTTTTTTTTTTTTCCCCCAGAATTAGAGGTAAGAGTGGCAAAACCTACAAAATGTAGGTAAGTAAATCTACTGAATGGTCTCCAAATGTATGTATAGCCAAATGAATGAATAACTTGTCCTTCCTTGTGTAATGACTTTTCTTTTGCTCCAATACTTTTCTTATTTCTGACTTCATTCTGTTGGTTTTAAAAACGTGGATAGCTTTTAAGTGTAGCTTTATACATTAAAGATTGGATATTATCAGTTGTTGGACAGGTATGGTGTGCCATACAATGTTTTATGTGATTTGCAAACATAATCTCATTTAAGTAAGGTAGTCCTTCTTTTCCAAGCTTTACAGATGATGAAAATATAGTTCAGAAAAAAATTAAGCCACTTGCTTAGATTCACACAGTTAGAGTTCAGATTTGAATCCAGGTCTTTCTGATTCTAAAATTTGAATTCTACCCACTGTGTTACACTGCTTCACAGAGATTCATCTGAATATGCTATTCTGTGTCTTGGGATGCATTTTTATCTATAGGTAATATTTAATGTAGCAGCATTTTTCCATATGTATTCCATGGATGGCACTTATTTTTAATAGGCTTTATTTTTTAAGTTGTTTTATGTTTACCAAAAAATTGAACAGGAAGTACTGAGAGTTCCCATCTATCCCCTCCCTACCTGTTATCCTCCCATCATCAACATCTTGTATTACTGTGGTATATTGGTTACAATTAACGAGACAATACTGATACTTTCATCAAAGTTTTGTGGTTTTCTTCATATAGAACTTGTAGATATTTTGTTAGATTTATATCAAAGTATGTCATTTTGTTGTTGTTGGTAATGTAAATGGCATTGTGTTTTTTATTTCAAATTCCAATTGTTCATTTCTGGTATATAGAAAGCAAATGATTTTTGTATATTAAGCTTGTATCCTGCAATATCACCATGCTATTTATTGGAATGCCACTTTTTAATATTATTAAACATTCTTATATGATGATCTCAAAATGCCCATAAGGTGACAAGTTGCCTTATTATAAAAGACCCTCTGCTCTTTAATTCTAAAAAGTATATTCTAGATTTGAGATTAAAATTATTTCATTCATCTGTCTTCATATAGAATATTTAGTCATCTGGGGGATTTCTATAAAGAATTCATAAGTTACTTTTAATTGAACATTATTATGCTTTTCCAAACTACAGTGTGTAATTAGAAACAAAGAAATTGTATTTAAGTATTACAGATTATGAATCTGCATGGGTGAATATGCTTCTGGAAGAACTGGTAACAAAAATGCTTTTTTCCATTGCTCACAAAATATATGTCCCGAGGCACTCTCATGTTTTTCTGGCCACATATATGTGATATGAGCTCCTGTTGGGACAGTTTCCCACCACAGGAATGCATTTCAGGGCACATAGTGGATGCAGCAGGTCAGGGCTGCTGGACCATGGGATCAGTATGATCAGAAGGGCCCTGAACAAGTCGTGAAAAAGTAAAAACTTCTTGTGCCATCCCGTGTAGGTTGACAGCAACAAAAAAGTGATAGGTATACAGTGTATCTTTATAAAATAAGATCAGGCTGGGCGCAGTGGCTCACGCCTGTAATCCCAACACCTTGGGAGGCCGAGGCGTGCGGATCACTAGATGAGGAGATCGAGACCATGGCTAACATGGTGAAATCCTGTCTCTATTAAAAATACAAAAAATTAGCCAGGCATGGTGGCCATGCCTGTAGTCCTAGCTACTTGGGAGGCTGAGGCAGGAGAATCGCTTGAACCTGGGAGGCAGAAGTTGTAGTGAGCTGAGATCATGCCACTTCACTCCAGTCTGGGCAACAGAGCGAGACTCTATCTCAAAAAATAATAATAATAAATAAATAAGATCAACAAAATATGACAGGTATGAAGATCACTGTATAACTATCACTTTTTTGTTGTCGACCTACATGGGATGGCCCAACACTTTTTTGTTGTTGTTGACTTACATGGGACCACACAATTATCAACATGGAAATAGAAAAGCTATTCAAAATGTACTTCAATATCACATACAGTGTATATTTATCACTTTTTTAAAAGCTTGGGAGAGTGTGTAAAATTACTTTTGTTGATAGAGGTTCAATTCTCAGTATAAAAACTGTCAAACCTAGACAAGACACTCTACTTTGAATGTAAAGTAAATTTCTAAAAAGTACTTACCCTCTTTTAGATTTAGGTAATTATTTAGAAGTGTGAGAGCATGAATAAAGATATGATATGAACAAGACACTTTCTTGTAATAATCTAATTCAAGAAATAGTACAAACATATATGAACGAATAAATTATCAAGGTCAATTTAATGTAGCAGAAACTGAGACTGCCAAATGAATATATAAGAGTCAGCCACAAAGGATCACAAAAGTCTACATGATCATAGTTATCAATTTGGAAACAGAAAATCTATTTAAAATGTACTTATACATCATATTAATCTTCCATACACTTTGGAGAGGTGGAGTTTCATTGTTGCTGTTGTAACTAGTGTTTTTGTTGAATAACCCATTCTCTAGGAAGCACGTAATGAAATTAACTCTGACTCCCTCCTTCTTCCCACACTGTCCCATAACCTCTTCCTCCTCCAGCAAGACTCAGAAGGAAGATGATTGTTTACAAGGGAAGGTAAATTAGTTTACGTTACTCCCAGATCTTGTTACACCATGAATTCATATAATAAACATAGCTTCTAGAATTTTAACTTCCATTTGTTATATTATCAATTCAGACCCCCCAAAATTAAATTTCTTTGAATATCTAATTTTAATAGGTTAGATGCTTTCTGCCAATTTTTCTCTGTAATGCAAACCTAATGTGATAATGAAAACCAATAACAAAATCAGAGGCTTCCTAGACAGTAGCCCATCTTCATTTCCAAGTTAAAGATTTTTGTTGAAACTATTTGCAAGCATATAATAATAATTCCTGTGCAAGAGAGTCTCTATTGAATGATATGTACTCTGAAGACAGTATGAAGGGAAGAGGCTCTTCGGAAGATCCAAGCTGGCTGCCAAGCTTCCATACCCACTTCAAAGTGTCCTGTAATATTAAATGTTTGGCCTTCACAGAAGACATTTCCAGAGACAACATATACATTAAAACCATACCTTGGGATAGTCAGGGCTGGAGGCTCCCAAACTTGTATATGAAACATGGCATAACAGAAAGAGCAGGCTATTTGGAGGGAGAAGGTTGAGTTCAAGTCCAAGCCCTCAATCTCTTTGACATTGCAAACAGGGTCATCACTTAACTTCTATGGGTCCAGTTCACACGTCTGCCTTACCTCTCTAGAGAACAGTTTTGTTTGTCAAATAAAATGATGTGAAGGTAAGGACAAAAGAAGACATTGGTAAGATATTCAAGAGGTTAAAAGAGGATGTGGTAAATGATTGCCATATACCTCCCTCCTCTTTCTTCTCTTGGTTTTAACTGCTCAGCAAAATATTTAGTGAGTGCCTGCTAAGTTTCAGTGATAAGCCCTGGAGATACAGAGGGGGAATAAAATGACATGGTCCCTGACCTGAAGTAGTCAAGAAGTGACATTATCTGACTTTGGTTTTATAAGGATCACTGTGGTTACTATGTTGAGCATACGTGACAGGCAGATGAAGATGCAAGCAGAGATACTTGGTTTATAGACTACTGTATCATTTCAGGCAGAAAAAAAAAATGATAGTGGCTTGTATACGGGTGGTAGTAGTGGAAGTACTGATAATTCAACTAAGATGAGGACTGATAACTAGGTTTTGGATTTAACATAGCAAAAAGATATTCGGTGTGCTTGCAGCACAGACAAAGTTTAATGAAAGCTAGGAGATCAACAGAGGGTTACTCATAAGAGAATGAAAATTCCATGAGGCATATTGGAAAGAATTGGAAGGGAGGTCAACAGGAGATGGAAGAATAGGAGAGAAACATGCACCAGGTATAGAGAAGTTTGTTTCTGGGGCAATAGATAAACACTTGACAGTCGTGCATGCACAGAATTCTGTGCGGTTGGCCCAACAAGGGTGTGGTGCCTCAGGGTAGAATTCATCCCAAGTATGTGAGGAGACAATCTTCTGCCTCCATAGTTGCTCACTTTCATGCAAAACCAGCTGTTACCTATTTGGTTAGGAAACTGAAATAAACATAGTGGAACTGAAGAGGATTGGAGTAGAGTAGCAGAGTCCTAGCCCTTGAATAGAATTTTTGCCAGGTAATTGATGAGAGTGGGATGAGCACAATTATACCTATTATTTATTGGGTATACACTTTGTGTCTGCCATACTTAATCTTCACCACAGAAAACTTAAAGATATGTGTATTGACTAATACACATTAGAATGGACTATTCTCATGCTGCTATAAAGAACTGCCCAAGATTGGGTAGTTTATAAAGGAAAGAGGTTTAACTGACTCACAGTTCTGCAGGGCTAGGGAGGCCTCAGGAAACTTACAATCATGGCAGAAGGGGAAGAAGCAAACATGTCCTTCTTCACTTGGCAGCAGGAAGGAGAAGAATGCAAGTCAAGTGAAGGGGGAAGCTCCTTGTAAAACCATATGATCTCATGAGAACTTACTATCACAAGAATAGCATGGGGGAAACTGACCCCACGATTCAATTATCTCTGACCAGGTCCCTTCCAACACACATGGGGATTATGGGAACTACAATTTAAGATGAGATTTGGGTGGAGACACAACCAAATCATATCATATGTTATCATCTCATTCTACAAATGAGAAAAGAACAGCTCAGAAAAATTAAGTAATGTACCTCATCTACCCATCTTCACACAGTTAAGGGACAGCATTAGGATTTGAATCTCTCCCTCTTTCCATATTATGCTTTAAAGAGCCAACGAAACAAATCACATGTCAGAAGATAAGGAGTTGAGATTAGTTGGAAACACATTGGTAACACTGGAGAGAAGGGACTGAAATAGTCTGTATAAGAAACAGAACTGAAATAGAGTCAGTTGAGGTTTTTGGCCTTCCAAACCTGTCCTTGTAGCTTATTCAGGCGCAGGCCTTGGTTGTTAGTGGCTCCTGGGCTGCTCCATGGTGCCTATGAAAAAATGGAAAGGAACAGTTACCTTCTAATTTTTCCAATCTAAAAGAAGTAGTTATTATTTTAGATAACTTTCCAAGTGTTGGTATAAGTGAATAGTTTTCTTTAATTCAGACTATCTGATAAACTGTTACCTTTCCAAATTCTCACCCTTTCAAGTCTGACAAGAATAAAAACTGTTGATACCATGCATCACCGTCACCAGAGCTTCCTTACTTTTTACCAGCAGCTGAACACACCATGTGGCTGTGGAAAGTACAGAATTGTTGCCAAGTGCAGGTAGAACTTGTGAACTTGGCATGCTCAAAACCATGAATAATAAATACAAGAGTCAGAGGACTTCTTTTTGGCCAGGATTTAACTCTTTAGGAATATATTCTTCAAAATATTTAGGGACACGTTGCTTATTATATATTTTTATCTTGGTTCAAAGCTTTCATTCCTAATGACCATCCCTGTTATAATTTCACACAAAGGTGACATATATATAACTTTGATGATATGCTCCAAGAATCAAAAAGCCAGAGAAATGGCAATGTAATTATATTTGCTCAATATCCAGTACTATCCCAACTCACAGCTCTAAGAGGGCATGCTTCCTTGTTTGTTTTACTGTTGAAGGTAGTCAGCAAGTTTCAGCATATAAATTACTAGAACATAAAGATCCACCGTATTTAACTTTGGCTTCATGTACTGAGGGTTATTAATATTTGATGATGTAGATTTGAATGGTACTGAAATTATTCCCTAAGCTTGGAGCAGCAGTGTTTGATTTCCTTCATTTTTCTGGTGTTTTTTTTTTTTCAATTTAATGAAAACCATGAAAATTGATAAAACACTAGAATTTAGTCTTTACTTTTTTTTTTTTTAAAGAAAAACACATTAGGGGACATAAATAAACTATGACACAAATAAACTTATTTTTATCAAGTGACCTGACTTGGGCATACAGTTTCAATTTCAAATATTCTGTCCCATTATTTCCATTTTTTCACATCAGATTGTCATAATACACATCCTAGTTCTGAATTCAGATAATATAGATATCAGAGTATGGGTTAAAAGTGCCACTGATTTGGAATCAGACAAGTTAAAAAATTCTCATTTAAGCTCTGCTACTGATTTCTGTGTGACCTTGAAAAGGGGACTTAACATTTCTAAGCTTAATATTTCCTTGCTCACAAAGTGATACAACTGGTCTAGGTGACCTCAAAATTCTATTCTATTCTAAAATCTTATGAATATGTAATATTTTATAGGAAAATAGTGTATAAATATTATTTCAATGATTAAAGATGTATAACCTATTATTTTAGAACATAACATGTCCAACTCTCACTGGTTTGCTTTTTCAAAATATGTTATTTTCATTCCAGTTTAATTCATGACTTTTTTCCAAGTTAAGTCTTGAATTGTTTCTACTATATAATACGGTTTCAGATTTTTTAACATACAGTGCAGAAAGTTTGCTCTACAGCAAAATGTAGAAGAGAAAGATAATATTCCTCAGACATAGATAGTTCTGAAGCTCATCCAAGTAGACAGGTAAAATAAACCTTGGGAGAAGAAAACTGACATTTAAAATTGGTAAAGATACAAGTATTTTTGCAGAAATAACATCTTATACTTTCACAGCAATCTGTCTCCTTTTCTTTCTCCCAAACACAAGAAAAAGGCATTTCAAGTTACTAATTAGCTTAACCATACTGATCTTTGGCTCATCTAAGGTCCATGAAAGTTGACTAAACATTCTTCTACCAAAGAGAAAAACTAGAAAATTGAACACATTTTTTTTTAATTATAGTATCTGTTATCCTGATATATCAACCCAAAACCTCATTTGGTTGGACTATGTTTTTATTTGTTCTTTTGGTCAGATAAATTGAGAACTTCTAAAGGAATTATTTTCTTAAATATAAAACTAGGTGTTTGTTATCACAATAAACTCTACGTTTCCATGAGTTGCCCACTGTCTCCTAATATTTTCCACTCTAGAATGAGAAGGCTAGGGTTGTGGGGAGCTGATTCTATAAACACAGGGATTCTTATCTATTGTTTGCTAAGCCTATGGATGGAGGTAAGAGAGTTAAACCTTTAAGCAAGCAGCCATTTTGACTAAAAATAGAAAAAAAAAAAAACAACTTTGACCAAGGAATCAAAATGAATACACCACTGAAAATGAGTTATTATATGTGACTTTACAACGTTAAACAGGCAAAAAATATGAAGAGATGTAGAAAATTTATCTACTATTATTGCACAATCGCTCCGTAAGAGGCTGCATGATTCAATTTGGGGTGATACAAAAATGAACAAGACAGCCCTTTTCTCCAAGAGTTTATGTGATATTAACCACAAACACACTCATTGAAGGCAAAATGTGGTTTAATCCTATGATAGAGGTACAACACTCTGCAGGAGTCCAGATTGTTGATATTTGGAAAGAGTGTATGAGAAAAAAAATTCACAATTTTCTTTAAAGCATATTGAAGACAGAAGATAAACTAGGATATGGGATGAGTTGTTTTTTTAACTGAAACCCATAGCTTTTATGATGATCTACTTGTTAATTATTACCAAAACTCCATCCCTTGTCTTTCTGCCCACAGAGATTCATATTTTGCACTGCCTAATGGGCATGCCGAAATGGATGTGCCACAAACTTGTTAAATGAACACACCCAAGATCAAGCACATCTTCCCCTCTCTGCTAACCTATTCTCCTACTTTCTAGATGAATTCAGTCTCCCAAGCCAAAAATTCCAAAGACACTTTCTATTTCTTTTTCCATCCTGGAACTGTCTAGTCAAACCATTAGCAAGTCCCGCCATTCTTGCTCAGAAACTTCTCTTGGAATTGTCCCCTCCTCTCCTTCCCAAGACACTGCCTTTTCTTATTTCAGATTTCCATCAACTCTCATCTGGATTATTACATTTGTTTTCTATCTAATCTTGTTGTATTTGTCTACTCAAGGCCATCCTCTACACAGCTCCCAAATTAACTTCCTTTTAAAAAAAATCTATTTCCATCATTTATCTGCTTAAAATTTTAGATATCTACATCTTACCTGGGAAACAAAACTCAAACTCCTGGATAGAGCATGAAAGGACATTTTAAATGTGCCCATAATACACCTTTCCAGCAGCAATTACACATTTCCCCATCTTCAGTTGCATTGACTTTATCACTGCTATGGTTTGCCACTGTAGAAAAGTATCCTTCCCTGACCATTGCATATGCTATTTGCTCTGCCTCAAATGTCCTCTTTCCTCTTCTAAGACTGAACATCTTTTCATTCTTCAAGATACATGTGAAAAATCACTTTTTCTTTCCCTAACTGAACCTGACAAAATTACTTTCTCCCTGTATCCACAGAGCACATTGTTTCTACCTTTATTTTTGCATTTACTCCCATTTTGTTGTAACTTTATCTGTTTATATGTCAGAACTCTTACAATTGGCAACAAAATTACCAAGGGTAAAGGCTGGATCTCATTGACCTTTTTATCTCCCATGTCTCTAATTAGCCTAGTAAATGGCATGTGTTCAATAAATGAATGACTGATTATCACTATTGGATACTATACAAATAAGTAATTACCTTTTAGGAATAATCGCAATATAGGCCAAGACTACACACAATACTTCTTGGAGAAGAGGTAGGAAATAAATCTCATGGAGATTTAGAGATCTATCTGCAAGGAATATTTTGAAAGAAAACATAACTCTGTCCTCATTAACAGCACAGTTTTGATAGCAAACAATCAACTAACACCCTTAAGGTAGTGTGAAATCAAAACTCTGCTTGTAAAAGAAAAATTAAGAAAATTGGCATTCTAGTCAAGTATTTTCTTCATAGAGGTGGTAAGTGAAGCTTTGGAATAGGATGAGGATATCAAGGGATCAGGTGTAGGGAGAGAAGGCTACATATATCATTCATGTTGACTCTCAAATTCTTCCTGAAGATGCTACAGTTAAAACATTCCTGTGTCTGAGTATGGGTAGTGCTATGTTTTAGCTTTTGCTTAATTCTGTTATGTTATGTCATTGATATTCTCTAATTTGTATGCAATCAAGGAGAAAGCCATTTAGTAGTAAGAATGCTTTCAGCTGATTAAAAGTTCCAATTTTTCTGGGCATCCTGTTCAAATAAAGGGCAAATTTGAAGGCAACATCAAAATGCACTACCTTTTCTGTTTTCTGCACTTCTCTTCTTTTCCCTTTCATCTGAGCAAGTAATAATGCAGATTTCAATTACCTGCCAATTCTTGCAATGGTTTTCCTGATGAAGTTAAATTGACATTTTGGCATACTTGGTAAAATCACAACAATATT